ATTTGAAATACAAAGAAGCAAAAGACTCCCAATTGGGAAAGAAAAAAGAAAAAGAATCCAAAAACTTGAAGATAGTGTAAAGAGCCTCTGGGACAACTTCATGTGTACCAACATCAGAATTATGGGGGTGCCAGATGAAGAGAGAGAGCAAGATACTGAAAACCTATTTGAAGAAATAATGACAGAAAATTTCCCCCACTTGGTGAAAGAAATAGATTTACAAGTCCAGGAAGCGCAGAGGACCCTAAACAAAAGGAATCCAAAGAGGACCACACCAAGACACATCATAATTAAAATGCCAAAACAAAATGCAAAAGACTAAGAGAGAATATTAAAAGCAGCAAGAGGAAAAACAGTTAATTATCTACAAGGGAGCACCTATATGATTGTTAGCTGATTTCTCAATAGAAACTATGCAGGCCGGATGGGAGTGGCAAGAAATATTCAGTGATAAATAGTAAGGACCTAAACAAAGATAACTCTGCCCAGCAAAGCTATTATTCAGAATTGAAGGTCTGATAAAGAGCTTCACAGATAAGAAAAAGCTAAAGGAGTTCATCACCACCAAACCAGTATTATATGAAATGCTGAAAGGTATTCTTTAAGAAGAGAAAGAAGAAGAAAAAGGTAAAGGTAAAAATTATGAACAACAAATACATATCTATCAACAACTGAATCTAAAAATCAAGTGAATAAAAAATCAAATGAACAGAATAAACTGATGAATATAGAATCAGTGGCATAGAAAGGGAGTGGACTGACAATCCTCTGGCCTGCATAGTTTCTATTGAGAAATCAGCTGACAATCGTATAGGTGCTCCCTTGTAGGTAATTAACTGTGCTTCCTGGTCTTATAAGGGGGGAAGGTTTATGAGGGTATGGGTAGAGACTGGACAAAAATTATACACCTATGGATGAGAACAATGGGGGGTGGGAAAGGGCAAAGGGTGGGGTGGGAACTGGGTAGAGGGAAGCTATGGGGGGGGGGGGGAGGAAGAGGAACAATTGTAATAATCTGAACATTAAAGATTTATTTTTAAAAATAAAATAAAATAAAATCCCATAACTAAAAAAAAAAAGAAAGAAAGAAAAAGAAAAAAAAAAAAATAACATCTAGGCCTCAGTTGTATTTCAGCCCCATGCCCAAAAGAGCAACAAAACCAGCCACAGCTGACCTCAGGACCAGCTACACTGAATAATGACCCCCTGCCCTGGCACCAAACAATCAATCAGTGGAGACCCAGACCCAGAAAGGACACACCTGGAAAGCTGGTGAATATTAAGATCTCCCCCAGGGTCCTCCATGGAAATCTCCACCCTTAAAACCTTTAGGACAGAGGACTGCTGCCAGTGTACTCTCCCTCCCTGTGAGCCCATCCAAGCCCTTTCTTTCCCTTTTTCCTTTCCCCTCCCCACAAGCACTTTACCATTAGCTTCCTCATTCCCGGGCTCCAAGAACTCTTCCTTTACCTCTTATAACTTGTTTCCTAAGCCCACTTCTAGGAACTACTTTTTCTACACCTGTGATTTATAAATAAATGTTCTCTTATAGTTTGGATCTTGGCTCTGAATTCTTTCCTGGCCAGAAACCAAGTACTGAGGTTGCTGAATTCAGGGCTGGTCTGACCCCATGGATCTAACACCCAGTGCCATTCCCACCGCCTACACCACAAGTATAATCAAAATTACTGTTTCAAGTTTGGTAGCATAAGTCCTGAAAATCAGTCAGGTACCCAAAGAGTGAGGCTGGTGGCTATTCATAGTTCACAACAGAGTAGAATAAAAGTTGCTAAAATCTCTGTCAGTCCATGTTTCAGGGTCTGAAGAGATGCAATTGTGGTTTTTGTGGGGGTTTTTTAATTTCCCATGGAATTTTTTTTATATATATATTTTTTAATTGATTTTTCACAGAGAGGAAGAGAAAGGGGTAGAGAGTTAGAAACATCGATGAGAGAGAGTCATCGATCAGCTGCCTCTTGCACACCCTCTACTGGGGATGTGCCCACAACCACTGTACACACCCTTGACCGGAATCGAACCTGGGACCTTTCAGTCCGCAGGCCGACACTCTATCCACTGAGCCAAACCGGTCCCGGTGTATTTGTGTTTTGGCTGAAGTCGTGAAAGCTCAGCTGATGCAAGGAAGGAAAGGAACTTTCTCTCATGTTAGCCTTCTAGCACATCAGCTCTCCAAGAACAAAAATTAGGATAGAGGATAAAACTATATTTTCTACTAGAGCTGAATGTTACTTGAAGGGAATAAAAACATTGAACTTCCTCATTGTATCAACAATGAGGAAAAGTACTAAACCTAGAAGAGGAAGGTGTAATAATAGAGCTTCTTTAAGGGATCTTTCTTATCATCATATCTGAAGCTTAATAACTTAGAAGGTTGTAATAGAAGACACAATAGAATATGGCTAAAGACAGAAGAGAATTATTTAATCACACAGATAACATTTCCTTGGGTTCACTTTTCAGTTGGCTTATTCAATAAAAGCACAGATAAAATATAATGCAAGGGGAGGGAGACTTTAAGTGTTTCCGAAAATTTGTTCCACCAAGTAAAAGAGCAGCCAAAGGAATTTGTTGGTGCAGAAAATAAATATAACTATTCCCCTGTTTAGTTCATCTCTTCTTCTCAGCTCTACAAAGCTATCATCGGCCCAGTATCATTTAGATAGACACCTCAAAATTGCTCCCTCCTTCCTGGGAGAGAGCTCTGGCCTGCCTGTGGCCCTGGCCTAAACTTTAACCAGCTCATCTCAGGCTTGTGTGGTTGCTGGCTACAGTACAGAGACATGATGCTCGGAAAGCAGAAGATTGCACCAGCCAAGCTAGTGCTGTGTATTTCATCACCCTCCGCCAGTCATCTAGGATTGAAATAATCATGTTGACTCCAAACACCAGGATGCATCAACAGTGCACACACCCTGGAACAGAGCTACCTAAGCAGGACGTAAGTCAGGATGGAAGCAAAGCTGCATACCACGAACAGTTGTGGGATTAACAGAGATGAAAGCTGCACGCATCAGAGCCTAAGTCAGACCGCACATTGTCCTTTGCTGATGCTCCTATGTTAGCATTTATACAGTGGCCTGTTGGATGCCTGTCTCCCCACAGAAACCATGCCTCAATCACCTTTGGATCCCCAAATAATCCTAGAAGGATCCCACTTGTGGGTAGCAAATACTGAACAACTGCCACTCTTTCACTTCCACTTCCACTCTTTCCTGAAGGTAAAGATAAAGATGAAAATAGAAAAGACAGATGCATAACAACAAAAAATCCAACATGTGGAAGTATTCACTTTCAGATAGGCTAAAAAAACTAAACCAAGACTACTGGCCACCCTCACCAAGTGATTTTTTGAGCCTCTTAACCTGCCAAATTGAAACACCTTGTGCCCTTTTAAATTCATAACCCAAGATATGAACCACCACTGCCACCACTTCAATACATAGGGCCCCATAAATGGACACTCAAGATCAATGAAAGCCCAAATTCTCACCAAAGACAACAGAAAACCAGCAATAAAGTATGTCCTCTCCTTAAAGCAGAAAGACACACATGAAAAAATGTACCCAACCCAGAAAAACAAAAAGATTAGTAGATCTACTCTATCTGGGAGAAAGAAATCTGGCACCACAAAGAGGATATCCACTCTTAGTATAAATATTTTCAGTAATGGTACTCTGGTACCTAAGTAGACACCACAAAACTCTACTATTCGCTTCACTCATTTGAACATAACAATAAATTATACAAAAATAGACAGATGTTTTCATTCAAATAAGTTATTTTTTAATAAAATTTCTACAACTCCTCTTAGACAAGCCTCCAGAAGATAAACTTCTAGTAAAGTGTTTAACAGTTTGACCTTTTTTAAACCCATATTAGATGGGCACAAAATTCTTTCAACAATTATTTTTTAAAATGCATAAAGACTTAATCTTGTATTAACTCCAGTGATTCATTTCTTACTAATGTTATAGCCCCTACTCCCATAGAATTCTACTCCCCTATGAACGTGCTGCCTTAAATAATTCTTAAATTTTTTTAAAAAAGTTTTCTTGGGGATAAAAGCAAAGCACACCAACAGAAGCAGAGACTGGTTAAATCCGTTGACTTGTTAATTCACTTCTAACAAACATTAAACAAGTTTCATTGCTGCAGGCCTTTTCTGAGCCTTTGTTACTGTGCAACACTACTCTTCAAAAGGCAGGAGTGGTATAATATGTGGTGATTTCACAGGAAAGTTGTTGGATTCCATGTATCGTCAATTGGTTTTTATGAGGAAAGAGTATTCTGAGGAACAGAATACTTTGAAAGCCACATATTAGAATCTACACTAATAAAAGAGAAATATGCAAATTGACCATACCTTCATGACACCCACCAGCCAATCAAAAGTATGTAAATTAACCCAACAAAGGAGTATGAAATTAATTTGCATACTCAGGCTCAGAATGGCCAGGCAGGGTGGAACTCTGGCAGGAACAGAGAAGACTGAAGGCTCTGACCAGAGCGCAGACTCAGGCTGGCTGGGGGAAGATGAAAGGCAGCAGCCAGAGTGAAGGCTTGGGTCCGGGTGCTGGAGGAAAACCAGTGCCGGCAGACAGGGGAAGGAAGGCCTATTGCACGAATCTTTGTGCAATGGGCCTCTAGTTGTGTTAATAAAACCTCAAAAATAGGTTTAATTCCCAGTTTAGTCCAATTAGCTTTTTTTTTTTAATCCATTGACTACATCTTTAAAACCATGAACAACCACCTTTAAATGCATGCCTTTACAAATACACAGGTAAACTAGCAAACATTACCTCGTTTACAGTAACAACTCATTCAACACTCAAGCAGCTACTATTTTGAAAAGAATTATGAACAATCCTACAGAATGCACTACTCTATGCATATTACAAGTTCAAATTGAGTAGATGTAAATGGGACATTTTATATCATCATATTTTGGATATTTTAAACATGAAAATGAAAAGACTCACCAACAGAAGCTGAGCTTTTAAGAACTGACTCCTTTTGGCTTCCTTTTTCAATTCGTAACGTGGCCCACTGTTTAAAAACAAGAAGCATTAATTTAAACTATAAGCATTAATAGTTTAAACTATTCCATAGACACAGTATAGCATATGTAATCATGCTTATTCGGAAGTGAATTAAACAGTAAGCCTTAGTGTTACTTGAATTAAAGAGATCCCCCAGGGAACCTGATGTAGCACTATTCCAAGTCCCAGGTGTATTCTTCTATTCTGATAATGCCTTAATGATAGGAGGAACAGATCACGTTTACTCCATTTAAATCACTCACACACAATCTAGTACCACAACAAATTACCCCTTGAAAAATTGGTGAAGCATGTTGAGCAAGAGCAAAGATTATGGCCTTAAGACTACCAGGGTTTTCCCTGGCCCCAGTGTAGCTCAATTGGTTGAGCATCATCTGGTAACCAAAAAGTCACCAGTTAAATTCCCAGTCAGGGCACCTGCCCAGGTTTCAGGTTTGATCCCCGGATGGGTACAGGAGACAACTGACCAATGTTTCTCTCTCACATCAAAGTTTCTCTCTCTCTCTCTCTCTCTCTCTCTCTCTCTCTCTCTCTCTCTCTCTCTCTCTCTCTCTGTGTGTGTGTGTGTGTGTGTGTGTGTCTCCCTCTTCCTTCCTCTCTCTCTAAAAAAAAAAAATCAATAAAAACACATTTAATTTTTTAAAAAAGACTACCTGTGTTCAAGTTACTTAATCCCTCTAGGCCTCAGTATCCTCATATGGAAAGTTAAAGATAATAGTTTCTATCCCATAGGGTTTGCTATGAGAATTAGATGAAATTAACACATGTAAATATTCAGGGCCCAAACTATAGCTATTATTTTCATAGTAAATTACGCATTCAAGGCTCAGATGCACTCAAGCCTAATTGCCTGCATCAACGATAAGCTTGAAAAGGAAGACAGAGTGAGACTTGGAAAGCTGGAAAGCAATCAGTGAAGTCGGTAACTAAAGAAATCATATGCCCAGATGGTCACTTGTATTTTAAGATACATAGGAAAAATGTTATAATTATGAGTGACCAGGGGTTTGAGAGAAGTTAAGAATGGAAAAAATCAACTCCCATTTTGCTTTGAATGTACATAGGAGTGTAAAGAAATATAGCAAGATGTGACTTGCTATTTTCTACTTTACACTTTTTTTAATGCATTTTCAATATTATCTACCATTAACATCATAGTTCAAAAACTACAAGTTGGCCCTGGACAGTGTGGCTCAGTTGACTGGAGCAGCATCCTGTGCACCAAAAGGTGGTGAGTTCGATTCCTGGTCAGGGTCAGGACACATAGCCAGGGTGCGGGTTCAGTCCCCAGTCGATTGATGTTTCTATCTTTCCCCTCCTCTCTCTATAATTAATAAAAATTGCTTTTTTAAATGTGCTATTAAAAAAATAAACTACAAGTTAACCTTGTTGACAGCATTCCAGAAAATTCCAATTGTTATTTTTTTCTAGTTTAGAAAGGTGCCATTAAAATATTATTTAGATTACTACAATTCCAGAAGTTAACACTGGCTAAATTGACTGATTTGGGGTGAGAAGGGGGGAACTGAATAGGGAGAGGTAAAATACATTGTAATAATTATAATTAGCACCCTCGAGGAACAAAAAAAATTTATTAAATATGTCAAGACATATATCTCAATTATTGATAAGCTCAGAGGGATAATTCAGAGATGAAAATAAATTTCAAATAAATAAGAAAATAAACTGATAAAAAATAACCTAAAATATGTACATGAAGGTCAAAGAGTAAGGCATGATCTGATTATGTCAGGACCCTTGCACAACATTCCAAAGAGCCAAGTAGGAACATGCCATTTGTGCTTAGAGAACATCCTATAAATAGAGGCTAATCTTCCAGGCTTCAAATGTCAAATCACAAATTATAATAAGACTCAGTCTTAATCTGGTTACATCTTTTTCTCTTCCTTGAAAACTTAAAACTCTAGACCTCCCATGTTTTCTCAATAGAGGTAAAGGTTTATTACTATGTTTTTTTGTTTTGTTTTTTACTTATTGAGTTTTTTTTTTGGGGGGGGGAGAACAATTTGTTGTTCCACTTATTTATGCATTCATTGGTTGATTCTTTTTTTTAATGTATTTAATTGATTTTTTACAGAGAGGAAAGGAAGGAGAGAGAGAGTTAGAAACATCGATGAGAGAAAAACATTGATCAGCTGCCTCCTGCACACCTCCTACTGGGGATGTGCCCGCAACCAAGGTACATGCCCTTAACGGGAATTGAACCTGCGATCTTTCAGTCCGCAGGCCAACGCTCTATCCATAGAGCCAAACCAGTTAGAGCCATTGATTGATTCTTGCATGTGCCCTAACCAGGGATCAAACCCACAGTCTTAGCACATCAGGATGACACTCTAACCAACTGAGTTATCTGGCCAGGGCTCTACAGTTTTTCAATTTAAAGCTTTGTACCTATTATCATTGTAAGTAGACCACAAATATGATTAAAACAAAATGTTATAAATAATCAATCATTATTAGTCTTACAGCTCAGTTTTCTTTTATGGTAGGCATTTGATTTTATAATTTATATAAATAGTAATTACCTTCAACTAGGACAATTATTTCATGCTCATCTGATGGAAAAATACTGATATTTTGTGGTTGTTATGGACTAACTTGTCTTCCCCCCCTCCTCAAATTCATATGTTAAAGCTCTAACCCCCGTTACATCATAATGTAACTGTATTTAGAGATATGACCTTTTAAAAGGTGATTATGTTAAAGTAAGGTCTTTAGGGTGGACACTAATACAACCTGCCAACTGTCCTTATAAGATGAGAAAATTTAGCCAAACAAGGAGATACCAGAGATGCACACACACAGATGCACACACAGCAAAAGTCAGTCCTCTGCAAGACAAGGAGACAGACCTCAGGAGAAAGTAATATCTTGATCTTGGACTTCCAGCCTTCATAACTACGAAGAAATAAATTTCTGTTGTTTAAGTCACCCAGTCTATGGTACTTTGCTATGGTAACCCTAGCAAACTAACACAGAGGCATTGCTTAAATAGGATGATTTGCTACAAAGAACTCCATATTCTGTCACCAGACAAGATTCAGAGCACATAACATCTCCTGAAATGGTAACGCCAATGATAATACCAAATGCAATTATGGTGTTGAAGACTAGCAAACTTTAAGGTGGGAGAAGTTATTTAATGTAACAGGGAATTTATACTGGAAAACCATTTTCTTCCTTGGGCTTCTTCTCCAGTGAATGTGCCTGCTCTGCAGTCAGACATACAAGCACATGAATCGCAGTTCTGCCACTTCCAGGCTGTCACCATCTCAGACAAAATACTTTAATCTCTTGGGGCCTCATTATCATCTTCTCTAAACCTGGGACAATTACCAAGCATTGTTATAAAGGTTGAAGAAAATAACCTACCTTTCCAGGGATGCAAAGCTGGCACAATATTCACAAATCAATAATAGGAATAGAGGGATCATACATCAACATAATAAAGGCCAAATATGACAAACCTAGAGCCAATTATACTCAATGGGCAAAAACTAAAAGTGCTTCCCTTAAGATCAGGAACAAGACACTCTTATTCAATATAGCATTGGAAGTGCTAGTCACAGCAATCAAACAAGAAGAAGAAATAAAAGGCATTTGATTTGGAAAGGAAGAGGTTAAACTTATTATTTGCAGATGGCATGATATTGCACATAGAAAACTCTAAACACTCTACCAAAATCCTGGCCATGTGGTTCAGTTGGTTGGAGCATCACCCCATACACCAAAGGGTGGCAGGTTCGATTCCCAATCAGGTAGTAAAAAGAAGAAAAAGACTCCACTCAAACACTGTTAGATTTAACAAAGTAGCAGGATACAAAATTAACATCCAGAAATTGATGGCATTTCTAAACACTAACAAAGAACTCTCCGAAAGAGAATTTTTTTAAAAAATCCCATTTACTATTGCAATGAAAAAAAAATAAAATACCTAGGAATAAACTGAACCAAGGAGGGAAAAGACCTGTATTCAGAAAACTATAAGATATTTAAAAAAAAAAAAATAGAGGAAGACATAAACAAATGGAATAATATTCCATGTTCATGAAAATGGAGACTGACATTAAAAGTCTTCTAGAACAGCATGGACAGTGCCCCATATGGATGAACCAGAGGCAAAGAAAAAGGCTGAAGGCAAAGTGAGAAAAAGGAAAGGGGAAAAGCAAAGCAAAAGCAGTAAAGGCGCCTAAGGGTTTGGCCTAGTAGACTTTTAAAAACTTGAAAGTTTGCTTAGATCTTTGATTAGAACTTATACACCTATTTTAGCTTCTATCAAATGAAAACCTTGTTTCCATTTTTTTAAGTAGGCCTTTTACTTCAATTAAAACCCAATATAACACCTCAAATTTGTTTTAGGAATTTGAATAAAATATTTTCTTTGAAAAAAAAACTATGGGTTGGAAAAATTAATATAATTAAAATGTTCATACAACCCAAAGCAATTTACAGATTCAACACAATCTCTATTAAAACACCAAATGCATATTTCACACTTCTAGAACAAATGTTCCAAAACTTTATATGTAACTAAATAAGACTTTGAGTAGCCTCAGAAATCTTAAAAAAGAAGAACAAAGTTGGTGGATCACAATACCAGATATCAAACTATACTACATGGACACTGTAATCAAAACAACCTAGTACTGGCTCAGGAACAGACATATGGATCAATGGAACAAAACAGAGACCCCAGAAATCAACCAAAGCTATTACTCTCAATTAATATTCGACAAAGGAGAAAAGAGCGTACAATAGAGTCAAGACAGTCTCTTCAATAAATGGTGTTGGGAAAATTGGACAGGTATATGCAAAAAAAAAAAAATGAAACTAGACCACCAACTTACACCATACACAAGAATAAACTCAAAATGAATAAAAGACTTAAAGTTGCAAAACCATAAAAAATCCTAGAAGAAAACTAAGAAGAAAATCTCAGACATCTCATGTAGCAGAATTTTCAGA